TGTGGCAATGACCCTGACACAATCTTAAAGGTTAACCCTGGTGTCAGCCCTCTCCATGTGAGCAGTGGGTGGCTGTGATTCTTGGCCATCCCCAAAGCATCCATGGCCACCCTGCACTCTGTAGGCCACTTCCAGCCAGCCCACCCAAACCTCCTGGAGAGCTGGGCTCCAGGAGCACTAATGAAAAGGAAAACAATTGATTTGTGGCTTGCTCCTTTTCCTTTTCCTTTATTAGGATGAACACACAAGGCCCAGAGGGTTCACTCATAAACTGGTTTTCATTTTCATCCTAGATGAGCTCTCAGTTTTCAGCCTGGTCTTCCTTGCTCTTTCTAGAGGACTCACCAAAGATCTGAATGAGGTGGGCTGTCCAGGATGCAACCCCAGCAGACACACTTTGTCTGGTCCTCCCAGGGATTTGCAGGGTTTGAGGGATGCTGAGGGGTGCAGGTCAGGAATGCTCCAGCCCCTGGAGCCAGCAGCTGGGGCAAGTCAGGAGCACAGCTCCACAGCTCAAAAAATGGCTAAAACTCAAGTTTTCCTTCTTTTCCTTTCATGCTAAGGATGGAGAGTGGTGTGGAGCAAGGAGGTTTTTCTATTTCACTTTAATTGACTTTGAAATACTGTACACTTAATCCTCTTTGCTTTGGTTTGTTTCAAAAGAAAGGCCGGGAAAAATCTGAGGCATCAGCCATTAGAAAGTATTTCCTGAGGGTTGGGGTTTTTTTCAGAAAATGCCTTTTCTGGAGGAAGATTGAACCTTTAATGAGATGATACATTTTTCTTATCAGCTACAAATGTGCTGCTGGCGTGATGCAATTTCAGGGAAACACGAGGGGGTCACTTGTGCAACGCGTCCGGCGGTGGCTGGAGCTTGCTCACACCACCCTGCTGGGATGCTCATGGTTGCCCCTTCACCTTCACAGATGGTTCCCAGTCACTCCCACAGGCACAGGTTCCCACTGGAGTCGCTTCCAGGACATGACAACATCTCCAAAATTCCAACGTTTCTCCAGAAATGTCCAGAATGGTGGGCGTGAAATTTCTGGACACTGATGGAGAGTCACCGGTGCCCAAGCTCTGAGCAGGGCAGGGTGGAGACTGCTGCAGATGGAAGCAGAGCTTGGCCTGGTAGAGGCAGTTTGAACTCAGGACATTTTTAAGTACTTCCTTTACCAAGCAGATTCTGATTCCTCAGCATTAAAACCTGCTATAAATAGCAGCTTAGATCAGCCAGTCTCACCATTCTTTTTCAGGGTTCTCCTTTCATTCAACATGGAGAATTTCCCTATTTTTGCTCTCGCCAAGTCTATTTTGGGGATTTGCTTTACTTAGCACTTTCTCTGGGATTTTTTGGGGGACTTGCAGAAAAACTCTATCATATCCCTGTGTGTAAATCAGGGCAACGTCAACCAGACTGCTTTGGGTGGCCTGTCCTGCTGCCTCCAAGCACTGGTGGTGGTAGGGCGAGGGTAGACCACAGGCTGAGCCATGGATCCTGAAACCACCTGGATCCATCTTACACCACCACTTTGCTGTGCTGTGAACCTAATTCCTCCTGAGATGCTCCAGCCCACTTTGGCCACTCTTCCATGGCCACTTTTGCATCTCAGAGCATCTCCCAGGTGAGGTGGTCCAGCATCTGAGTCACACAGGTTCTCCTCTTTCTAAAAGGGTGAGGAGCTAGAAGAAATCACTTCCTTGCTTCGTCATGTCTGCAATGCAGAGGAATGTGTAAGGAAACATTCTCCTAGGAGCATATTGCAACATCTCAGAGCATCACTGATATGACTACAGCCTCCAACCTCTACCCAGTCTGCAAAGAGCTGGCAGAGTGGAGACTTTAGTCAGATTTCTAAGGAAGAAACCAACCTCTTAGGAAGCAAACACCCTGACTTGGGGTCTTTTTTGGCTTTCAGCTGTAGAAAAGCTTCTGCCCTTCCCTAGCCCCTGTTATACACATTATGTAGACTAAACTGATCCTAAACAGATCCTAAACTGGCTCAGCTGAACTAAGGAGATTTTTTGTTAAATAAAAATAAAATGGTCCCTGACAGTCCAAAATAATTTGGCGTCTGCTTGCTGACCAACACAAGAAGTCAGGGAGGTTTTCAGCTGCCTCAAACAGAAAATTGTCTCATTGCAAAAACGTGAATGATCACATTTCCAACTAATTCTCCTGTTTGAAAGGGATTTGGGTTTTGTGAGAACATTTCTGCCCCATAAATGGCATTTCTCCTGCCGGTGTGCCTTGGGAGCGGGGTAGGACCAGATGGCTGTAGGTGGCAGGTCTCAAGGCATGACCCATGAATGCCTGAAGGCACAATCAGAGGGGACAGCTCAGAGGCAAACCACGTTCTTACGTCGATCTACAAGTTCTATTCCCTGAACAACCAGGCAGAGGAGCCAAGTAAGATGATGTAAACTCCGAGCTGATTTCTGGTCCAACTGGCGTCCGTCTGAGCGCCAGGGTCCCACCTCCAGCCTGCCTGGGCGTCCTGCCTGTGGAAGCAGGATCCTTCCTCGTCCTCCAGGGGTATTTGGGGATGAGCAAGTTGATGAGCAAAGTAGGGAGTGAGGTCTGAGCTGAGGAGTGAGCCTGAGAGGTGCCTCTGTCTGCAAATGGCAAAGGGAAGGGTGGAGAGGGGACCAGATTGTGGAATCGTAGTATCATAGATTCTATCATAGAATCACAGAAGGTTTTGGGTGGGAAGGGACCTTTAAAGGTCATCCAGTCCATCCCCCCTGCAGGGAGCAGGGACATCTGCAGCTAGAGCAGGGTGCTCAGAGCCCCACCCAACCTCCCCTGGAATGGTTCCAGGGATGGGGCCGCGACCACCTCTCTGGGCAGCCTGGGCCAGGGGCTCACCACCCTCAGTGTCAAACATTTCTTCTTTCTCTCTAGTCTAAATTTCCCTCTTTTAGTTTCAAACCATCACCCCTTGTCCTGACTCAGCAGGTCCAGTCTTATAGGACCCCTTTACATCCTGAAAGGCCACCAGAAGGTCTCCCCAGAGCCTCCTCTTCTCCAGGCTGAAGAACCCCAACTCTCTCAGCCCTTCTTCACAGGAGAGGTGATGGGCCATGGTGTGGCCAGGAAGGTGACACTCAGGTTGGCAACACTCCATGGGGTAGATCTGCCATCCCTAGCCCAAGTGAGGGGCATGTGCACCACCACAGCTCCCAGCAGGACTCTCCTCTAGGTTGGGCCACCTCTGGGACTTCTCCTGTGCAAGTCTAGGACCGTGTTGTCCTCCAGACCCTTCTCTATCTGGGCGAAGCAGAGCAGCCCACGTGCATGGAGCTAACCACAGCCATGGGCTGCCCTGCCAATCCTTCTACCAGCTGTGGCTCGTGGAGGGCTGTGCACAGCATGAAGAGCTGAAGCAACGTTTGGAAAACACCAGGTTATTTACAGAAGGGTCTGGTCTTCACACCTGGGTCAACAGCTGGGAGCTTTTCACAGAAACCTGGTGAGTCAGTGCCCAGCGCTGCGGTCGGGGTGGGAGAGGTGCCGGTGGTGCGGTTGGGTTGTGTGATATCCATGTTGTGTGATAGTCCTTCCACTGACTTTCAGCCAGCATCTGCCAAGACGTCACCACTCAGGGATGTCTTGAAAACAATGAAATGGAGCCATTTCATAGGAATGCATCTGCTTGTCTCTTGAGAAGATATATCCTTCTAAGAACAGCTCGCTACAGCTGGACAGCCCCCAGCTCCTCCCAGAACCTCCATCACCTCCCTGCTAGGCCTTCCCTCTCCTCCTCAGGGACAAAGAGCGCTTTGGTAGACCTCCATGGTAGTCTGTGTATAGGCTGGTGGCTTCTTCCCAGTGAACCATGGCTGGTCGCAGCCTCTGGAGAGCTCTGGGCTCTTACTCGCTCCCATCCAACGTGGTCATTCCTCCTTGTCTGTGGTCATTACAATTTTCTCCCTTCTGCTGAGACTGGGTATTCTTTTCTTCCTGGACATCCCATTTTCTGCCCATGCCACCACTGCCCAATTGATCTATCTGTGGTCTTCAAAAGTGTTTTCTTCCTCAGTCTGCTCCTAGAGCTCCTTCTGCCTCATGGTCAGGTTCTCAGTCAAAGTCTCCATACTTCTTTTGGCTCTTTGCATGTCCATGCCTAGTAACAATAGGCCTGACCTATGATGTGCCCTTAAAATTTAAGTCTAATCTAAATCAGTCATTTAGGGTCTCCTTACATGACCTAGAGTGCAGCAGACACCTCCAGGACATGACACCCCATCTCAGCTCTCCCTTCTCTTTAGCTAAGGAGGAAAATCAAGGGGTTCAGTTTCTGGGACTCTTATTTCATGCTCACTTCTTATTTCATGCCTGTGCAGGTGCCAGCAGTGTTGTCATGACACATGTAGGACACGTCCTCAGTCCCCTCAGTCTATGTGAAGCATGTACAGGACATGGAGCCTACTGGGGATGGCTCCCATCTCCTTCCACTGGGGATGGCTCCCATCTTCTTCTACTGGGGATGGCTCCCACCTCCTTCCACAGGGGCAGATGTGGGAGGGAAACAGTCCATGGCAGAGGAGATCTCACCCCTAACTGGCCTCAACCCACCCCATGCTCTTCAGCCCATTTGCTCTTAGAGGGCTGCTCTTTTGCCTCCAACCTTGGGTTGGGCAATAGTGGCCTGGTGACAAATGCAGGAACCTCCACAAGGGAACTTCTTACTAAAGGGGCATGCAGGAAAGAAGCAGAAATAGCCATGGTGACTGTTGCATATCCTGTGTCACTGGGGAGGCACTAAATCGAGGGGGGAGCTTCACCCTTCCGTTGCTGGGGCTGCTGCTCTGTTCCACCACGAGACTGCACCACAAGCAGCCTCTTCTCTGCTGGAAATTCCACCATGCCTACGCAAGAGCTGCATGGATCTCCTCACCCCATAAATTGGGGAGCTGCTGGGTGTCTCAGCAGACAGAAAAGAGGCTTTTGAGCTCCACTTGCCTGCTTCAGCTCCAGCCACCACTTCTCAGCTGACATGAAGGTCTCTGTGGCTGCCCTCACCATCCTCGTCGCCGTCTTCTGCCACCAGAGCTCTGCTGCACCACGTAAGTCTGGGGCTCTTACCCCTTCTCTCTAAATGGGCATAGGAGGGATGTCACTGCTGGGACAAGGCCCTTTCTGGCACTCCTTCCACCCCTTCCCACATCAGAAGACCCTCTAGCAGGTGCTCCAGGGCACTGGGGCTCTCCTGCCATGGGGGAGGGACAGCTGAAAGCAGGGCATGGGCTGTGCCAGTGCCAGCACGGCGTGAAGCCAAAAGAGAAAGAATCAAAGGAAGAAGAAAGATCTCACCTTTCTCTTCCTCCTCCAAGTCCTCCATACTCTCCAGACCCAAAAGTCTGTGGTGCCAGCTCCCTGCCCCTGCTCCCCATCCCTTGTCACTGCTGACAACTGTCTTTGCTCTTCACAGTAGGCTCCGACCCACCGATCTCCTGCTGCTTCACCTACACGGCCCGGCAGCTGCCCCGCAGCTTCGTGGAGGAGTACTATGAGACCAGCAGCCAGTGTCCCCACCCAGCTGTCATGTAAGTCCTCTGCTCCAGGGCAGGCTGGGCTCTCCCTTTGGGCTGAGGATCCAGAGGGGGAAAGCCAAGGGGTGGGCGCTGGCCCCAGGGGGACAGGAGGTGATGCTCCAGCAGGGTCCTGCTCCACCCCTTTGCAAACCAGCTGGTGGCTGCTTGACGTGGTGGGCACGGCACGCTGCTCACCCAAACTCTGCTGGTCCTCAGGAGAGGCTGGGTTTGGGGCAGGGCTCCTCTCCCCTCCTCCTGAGGCCTGGAAAACGTGCCTTATGAAGATCAGCTGGGAGAACGGGGGTTGTTCAGTCTGGAGAAAAGGAGACTGAGATGTGACCTTAGTGCTCTCTGCAACTATCTAAATGGAGGTTGGAGTGAAGCTGGTGTTGGTCTCTTCTCCCAAATTACTGTTGATAGGACAAGAGGAAATGGCCTCAAGTTGCACCAGAGGAGGTTTCAATTGGACATTAGGAAGAATTTCTTCCCTGAGAGAGTGGTCAGGCACTGGAATGGGCTGCCCAGGGAGGTGGAGGGGTCACCATCCCTGGAGGGGTTCAAAAAACGAGTAGATGTAGCACTTGAGGCCATGGTCTAGTGGTTAGGGAGATGTTGGGTGGAGGGCTGGGCTTGATGATGCTAGAGGTCCTTCCCAGCCACAGTGACTCTAGCAGTTCATCACCATCCCACCCAAACCTTTCCCTCTCTGCTCCCCACAGCTTCATCACGAGGAGGGGTCGCCAGGTCTGCGCCAACCCCGAGCAGGAGTGGGTCCAGGAGTACATGAACGACCTGGAGCTGAACTGAGCTCTGGCACAGACCCCCCACCCCGCGTGCCCCGGCTGCCAGGGCAGGCAAGCCACGGCCAGCTCCAGCAGAAATGCTTCCATCTCATTTAAAGCTAGCTGAGAAAACCTTCCAGCAGCTGACTTTCGTGTTTTTCCTATTTAATTTTTCATAGAGGAGGGATCAGGTGCAATAACTCCACTCCAGCCAAATAAGGATAGTATTTAATAGATCTATTTTTTTAAACGAAGACTTATTCTCAGGTTCTGTTTTCTGTAATTCATTGTATTTTTGATGGTAATATTTAATTCTAATTTCAAGAAATAAATATTTTTGTAAGAACTTTCTGTCCTTGCCTCTCTTACAAGCCTCGGCGATGACAATAGGTGAGATGATAACAGTGGCAACGTGTTCTTTATTCCCTTTTCTACCCTGTCAAAACCCCCACGAGCTTTAACTACCTGAACGTCCTGTTTTGCAAAATAAGAAGAGAAAAGTCATGAAGGAGGAGGTATGAGAAGGGCACGGATGATGTTCAGGTAGCTTGGCTCAGTCTTTTTATAAGGTATTTAATCACTACTCCTTATGACTACTGGCAGCTAGTTAAATTCCATCGTTGGCCCCATTAGAGGCAATTAAAACGTTACCTTCAGGGGCCAAAATTTCACATGCTGGCTCTTTCAGGGAAAGTTTCCTGAGGGCTGCAGCTAAAATGGATCAGCTATTCCCAGAGCTGAGGGTAGAGAAAATATGTTGCACTACAAGATTTTCAGAACTATTCCATTAAACTCTGATTTAGCTGGGACACGAGGCTTAGCCAGATGTGTCCCTCTTACAAGGGAAGGTGGGTTTGCACCTTTTGCTCTTTTCCTCCAAAACCTCCCCATCTCTGAGGGTGTATGTCTAGAGGTGCAGTGTCCCCTGCAATCCCCCTGCCAGTCCCCAGCCCCAGGGCAAGATCTGCCCCTGCAAGGAGACATCTCCACCACAGCCCTGGATGTCCCCCAGGCGCTGAAGGAGATGGAGCCCACATCACTGATGACATTTAGGTTGCTCTAATCACCTCTGGACAAGTTCTGTTGGAGGAACAAGGGTTTGGGTTCCTCCTTCCTGGGCCTCTGGTGCCTATAGGGCAGCCCAAAGGTGTTTGAGCCCAAACTCGGCTCACCCCACAGGATTTACACACTAGATTTGGGAGGACAAATAGGAATGTCAGTGAGACAGGGGGGAGCAGAGCAAAGGGGGCTCCTGGGGAGGGATGAAGATGAGCAGACGTGGAGCAGAGCCTGGGTGGGAGCTGTGCAACGTGAGGAGCTACAGGTAGGGCTGGAAGGGACCGGGGGGACGTGGGTGTGTTTGGGGGAGGAAGGAGAAGATGGGTGATGTCAGGAGCCTCGTCACTTCAGGAACTGCAGCCCCCAGCTCCTCGGCCCACGGAGCGGCGTGCACCCCATCAGTCATCCCCTGCAGTGCCGACTGCACCCAGCTTGAAATAGCACCTGAGGAGGAGGGGGTGGAACACAGAGCTGTGCCAGCCAGCAGGACCACTGCCCCCGTCCCTGAGATGCTGCTGGGAGGCTCAGGTGGGCATCACCACGTGGGCGGCTGTGCCTTGGTGCCAAGGAGCTGCTGCTTCATGCCCCAGCGGTGGTTTTGGTCACAGCCCTGACTCCCCAGGCCAGCTCTGGGAGCAGGGCTCACTGTGGCCACGCTGAAGGAGAGGACACCTTGGCTGCTGGGTACCAGCCAGCCCCATATCTGAGCGCTGGAGCCCGGTAGCTTCGCCCTAAGGACTGAGACAGGCACAAAGTTGAGTGCTCAGAGCTGCCCACCCTCCAAGAAACAGCAGGAGCAGGGAGTCCTGCAACAAAGTCACCCCAAAATAGCTTAAACCTCCACAGTCCCTCTTGGACACAAGTCCCATCTGTCGCCGTGGCCCTGGGAGCAGTCAGGCAATGCAGAAGGACAGGCAATGCAGAGTCACCCGGGGAGCAGCACCCAGCCCACGCAGGGTTGGAGCCTGTTGCCCACAAGCCCATGAGCCAACATCAACAAGCCAGGTCCCGCTCGAGCCACCCACGGCAGCCACCTACCCTGGGTACCTCAGCTAACTCCTCACCGCTATTCTGGGAGCCTGCAGGGAGTCCTGAATTGCTCATGTCTTCCTTGATCTTCCACCCACCCACGTGTGACAGCTCAGAGGAGCCCTCAAAGTGCGTGTGAGGAACGCAGCGTGCTCCTCAGCCCACCCCCAGGCAGAGGTGTGAACGAAGCCCTCACGAGCAAGGCAAAGGCAGCCAGCAGCTTTCAGCAAGCTGGCACCTGCCTCCAAGGCCCACAGGCAAACGTGGAGAATGCATCTCTGGCCATAGAATCATAGAATCCTTTAGGTTGGAAGGGACCTCCAAGATCATCAAGTCCAACCATTGAGCCATTAGGGCTCTAAAGTCCTCTGCTAAAACAGATCAGAATCTGTCAGGGCTGGAAGGGACCACAAGGATCCCCCAGTTCCAACCCCTCTGCCATGAGCAGGGACGCCTCCCACTAGATCAGGCTGCCCAGAGCCTCCTCCAGCCTGGCCTTAAAGACCCCCAGGGATGGGGCCTCACCCACCTCCCTGGGCAACCCATTCCCGGGTCTCACCACTCTCATGGGGAAGAACTTCTTCCTCACACCCAGCCTGAATCTGCCCACTTCCAGCTTTGCCCCATTCCCGCTAGTCCTGTCGTTCCTCCATATCCTAAAAAGTCCCTCCCCAGCTTTCTTGTAGGCACCCCTAAGATACTGGAAGGCCACAATAAGGTCACCTGGGAGCCTTCTCTTCTCCAGACTGAACAGCCCCAACTCTCTCAGTCTGTCTCACAGCAGAGCTGCTCCAGCCCTCAGATCATTCTCGTGGCCCTTCTCTGGACACGCTCCAGCAGCTCCACATCCCTCTTGTCATGGGGTCTCCAGAACTGGATGCAGTACTCCATCTTCAGAGCCACCACATTTTGCATAGGAGGAGGAGAAGGAGGAGGAGGGCAAGAAGGTGGCCCCTGTGCAGGGACAGGCAAGCAGGGGCTGCAGTACCCCCGTCACCCAGTCTGCACCCAGGGATCACCCTGCCCAGAGCAGAGAGTGTATTTGTCACATACATTGACACAGCTATTTGGGGCTGACCTCGCTCTTGGAGCAGACTTCCAGGGCTGAGGAAGACACAGAAGTGTGCTAGAAATGGTGCCTGGCTACCACCTGCCCCATAATGGCCAATGGAAAGCAGAAGTGGCAATGAAGACCTGAAGAAACATTTCTGCTCTGTTCTTGGAAAGACACAGAGCGCTCCTCACATCCCCCTGAGATGATGAAACATTTCCTGCTGGACCAGAAGAGAAACAAAGAGGTTGACATTTGTTGAGAAAGCACGTTTCTAAAACTGCAGGTCTGGAAATTTTGCTGCAGAGAATCTTAACTGGAGAACCTGTCAGTGCCTTTGGGTGACCAAACTGCCCCAGGAGCCAAAAGCCTAAAAATGGGGTATTAATCTCCTGGTTGCTCAGAAAAATAGTTCTCTGATCACCCAACCCCCAGCCATGACCTTTCTTCCAGATGTGTCATCCCAAGGGATTACTGCCTTCAGTAAAACCAGACTCCTTGAGCAGGTTTTACAGGTCAACCTTTGGCACTAAATAACCCTATGATACCACGTGAGGGTCACCAGCTTGCTTGGCATTGGGAAGCTGGGGAGCAGGAGCACTGGCAGGAAGACCCCCGTGCTCAATTTGGGTCATGCTGTGCCATGCTGCCATCCTTCAGGGCTGAGGTGGGTCCTGGTCCTTGCTGGGCAGGATCTGGGTGGCAGCCAGAGCCAGGCACTAAATGTGTTTCCACCACAGGGGCAAGCTCGGCCTGTTGTGACTGAAACAGAAAAACTACTTGCCAACAGCTTTAGGAACAGCTCTGGCTCTGCCAGCAGGTCCCAGGGCTCCTGGCTTTTCTCTAGCTGCCCATTCCCACCCAGCCTGGGCATCTCAGGGCAGACTGGTATCCACCCCCAGCAGGTTCTTCGTTGTAGGAGATGTGGAGAGTCCATCAGAGGGAAAATCTCACAGCATATTCAGAGCTACCTCATGCCTCCAACCTTCACCCTCCTTCCTGGGAGAGGCAGATTCATGATTTCGAGGAACACCTCGGACGCTGCCCTGGGGTGAGTTCACATCCTTTCTGCTCATTCATTTCTTCCCACGATTGGCAAGATCTCTGAAGTGTTGCACTTCCTTCTGCCTCTTCTAGAGACTCCCTCCAGCACCACACACAGTGCCACTCACCTTCCCATGGGCAGATTGCTCTTGCTTTCTGGACAGCTTCCATCCCACCACCTCCTGCTGGCCCCGGTCCCTTCCCAGCTGTCACCCTGCACAACAGGTTTCCTTGGCTGCCCTCACCACACACCCCCACAGCAGTCTCTGCTTCCAGCTCTCTGTCAAGACCTCAAAGTTCGTGTCCTTTTTTATCTCCATAAACTCCCTCTGTAGGATGGCTGGAGGTCAATGAGCTGCTGAGACCATGGAGACCCGTTGCCCTTCTCCTTCCTGGGACGTTGCAAAGTTGGGACTGGGCTCTTCTAGCTGGTCTCTTCTCTCTGTTGTGCAGCCTCTAAAAGAAAGAGCCTGCAGCTGAAGGGAGGAGGGTGAGATTCCCCAAGATCAGCTCAAAGGGACTGCTATCTCAGGTCCAGCATCATTTTTCACTAGAAGATCCTAAGGCACCACCCAGGACATCCCAGAGGAGATGCTCTAGGCATTTAAGCCTATGCTTTGTCATATTCATTTGCATTGAATCATTCTTTAAATTAAGCAACTGCATTATTTCTGTCTGAAGGGCACACTCCACAGCTACTCCAGCTGGCAGGCCATGGCTGCTGGCCTCATCTCCACCCCATCTGTCCCCAGGGCAGTGTCTCCTGCCTGCTGGCCCTGTGGACCACAGGCTCTGTGGTTTAGATGAGGTCTGGCTGAGGCCAGAGCTGAGCCTACAGACCTGAGAGCTCACACACTGACTGCAAGAGGCTGGGGCAGCAATACAGCCTGGAGGAGAAGGGATGTCCCAGGGGATGGAGAGAACAAAAGTGACTTTTGGAGACATCAGCAGAGGCTGCTGAGGGTTATTTTCCTTCCCCTGGGCTCTGCAGCCCCTGAAGTGTCCCCATCCTGGGGTGGGTGACACACTGCTTCCCATGCTTGGAGACTGCCCACCCGTGAGGCTTGTGAGAGATGGTGGAGGGGCTGGAGCTACCAGACCTGGGGGTGATCTCACTACCAGGGGATGAGAGAGGGCAGCCCAGGGACCACCCACACCCATAGAGATGTCCCCTCACCTTCACTCCAGGCCCCAGCACCACAAGGCTGAAGCGTGGCCAACTACACAGGCAGCTGCTGCCACTGAACCCCTGCCTGGTGGGTGCCCAGCTTGCTGTGGTGTCCCTCTGGTTGGTCACTCTGGAGAAGAGAAGGCTCTGGGGAGACCTTATTGTGAGCTTTTTTTTTTTAAAGGGGCCTGTCAGAAAGGTGGGGACAGACTTTTTGGCAGGGTGTGTTGTGACAGGACAAGGGGGGGTGCTTTTGAACTAATGCGTAGCAGGGCCTGCTAGGATAGGACAAGGGGGCATGGTTTGAAACTGAAAAAGGGAGATTAAAATTAGAGAAAAGGAAGAAATTTTTAGTGCTGAGAGTGGTGAGCCCCTGGCCCATGTTGCCCAGAGAGGTGGTCGCTGCCCTATCCCTGGAACCATTCCAGGTGAGGTTGGGTGGGGCTCTGAGCACCCTGCTCTAGCTGCAGATGTCCCTGGCTCCCTGCAGGGGGGTTGGACTGGGTGACCTTTAAGGGTCCCTTCCATTAAAGGCATCATTCTGTGATTCTAAACAAACTATTCTATGATTCTATGATCTCTTGAGGCCCCTCTCTGGGCTGGAGAGGACAAGGTCCAGCAGGTCCCTCCACCCTCTGAGATGTTGCAGAAGAGTTGGAGCTAATGAGCAGAGATGGACACACCAAAGAACCACACTGCTAACTGACAGAGCTCCCCAAATCAACTCTTTATTGCCTTGTTCCAGTACAATTCACACCAAAATCAGCACTATGCAGCAGGCTGGGCCATACCCTTCTCCATGAGACGAGCAGAGGGCAGCAGGGATCAGTGGGATCCCTCATTCTTGGTGGCACAGAGGGTTATGGCACATCCCCCGCTGCCAACTGTCCCTCCCAACAGAGGCATGGCACACACTGGGTGCCACATGCACTGGGTCACTCCCCAGGAGCACGTGAGGGCCCTGCCAGGTTGCTCACCAAGGCACACAGATTTTCCCCACCATCACTCTCCTGCTCCCAGGAGGAGCCGGTCGGGCTCCCAGGTCTCTGCCTGCCAGCGAGAAGCCAGAGCAGCCCCTGTCACAGGACAACACACCCACTCCCCTGCGTGTCCCTGACCCAGGAGATCACCAGGGGCTCTGCGTTCCTGCCCCCCAAAAAGGCACCCAGGAAAAAGAGAGGCCGGAGGTTCCCCGAGAACTCGTCGGTGAAGGTGTAAAGGTGGGAGCGGTCGCTCACGTTGTAGAAGGAGATTTCTCCTGCCTCGTAGTCCAGGAAGACCCCGACACGCCGGGGCCTCACGCTCAGGGCCAGCGGGGACACGGGCGAGGTCAGGGCCTCGTAGCTGCCCCCGTTTTGCAGCCGCAGCACCCAGTAGCCGTTGTTTGGGGAGAAGAGGACGTTGCCTTTGCGGCTGGCGGACTCCCGGCACAGCCCCAAGCCCCACTCGGGCTTGTCTCCCACCTGCACCTCCCAGTAGCTGCGGCCCGAGAAGAAGACCTGGCTGCCCAGCATTTTTCTTGGGGTGGTCGAAGAGGGACAGGAGCAGCTTCTTGCCCCCTCGCCGCACGCTCTTGCGGTCCTCGGACAGGCTGAGCTCGGGGTGCGCCGTCTCGGGGTCCAGAGTCACATCCACTGGGGAGAGAGAAGGGGGGAAGGAGGGATGGGGCTTCAAGGGTCAGGAGGTGCAGACGCGAGCCTGACTGCTGGGCTCTGCCAGCTCTTCCTGCCCCCGAGGTTTATCTGTTTGTGCCCGTGGCTTTGCGTGGTCAGAGCGCTGCCCGGCAGCAGGGAAGTGAAATCCATCGAGTGAAGCTAACCATAAACCACAACAAAATATTTGGCTTCTGGCTCTGC